GGGCGGCTGCGCTCCAGGCGGCGGGCGGACAGGAGCCGGCGCAGGGATGAGGTGGAGCTCAGGTCCCCGCAGCTCTGCAGGTGGATCCCTTCGTGCGGCCGCTCCGCACCCGGCCGGGCACTCCAGGGAACCTGCGAGACCCCGGAACAGGCTGCAGCCCAGCATCCTGCCCGTGGCACCCCGCGGGACAGCCTGCTCGCCGGGCACAGCCAGGCGGGCACACCAGGCAGGACAGTGTGGGGTGAGGGATGGCAGGGGTGGCTGTCATTCGCCTACGCTGTCATTCAGGACCACCTCGTTCCAGCTGGGGCCTCCTGGGCTGTGCAAGGTCTCCAGCTAAGCTAAGGATGGGATGTCCCAGCAACTGCCCCCAGGCTGCTGTGACTCAGAGGCAAAGCCAAAGCTGTTGCCATACACACCCTTTTTCCACTCACAGCTATGGTGGGGGCCAAGAAAGGCCAGGCAAGGACAGTGCCCCAGGAAGAGGGCTCTACCAGCAGACCCTGCCTGCAGCTGGGGTGCCAACACCACAGGGTGCGTGGCAGGGGAACAAAGACACCAAAAGGGCCAATTTGAAGGTACTGGTGTGAACTGGAGGGTGGGGATGGGGCCCCCTAGGAAAGGGAAGCTGGCCCTGACCTCTGGGACACTGTGGCTGCCAGAGCTTACCTGCTTGTTCCCCTGGAAGCTGTGTCCAGGCATCTCCATGCTGGTTGCTGGGCTGCGCTTGGGTCTCTGGAGGAACCTGGCCATCAGCCCACGGGTGCCCCGGCACACTTTGAGGTCCCCCAGGGAGCGGGTTGTTGTCTTTGACAGCTGCTGCATCAACTTCTTGGAGGGCAGTGGCTTGTTCTTCCCTGCTGAGCTGGCCCGGAGCAGTGGCGGGGGGTCACAGTGTGAATGGCGGAGCAGGCAGGCCTCCGAGCACAGCCCTGCAGAGACACTGCCATCAGATGCTGGGACACCACTGCCAACCAGGACCTGTCCCTGCAGCCCCACCATCTCCTCTCCTCAAATGGTGGGAACAAAACCACCATTGGTCTCCATTGTCCTGGACCCAATGAGGTGAGTCTGATCCCCAAAGGGCTGCAGAAGCACAACCCCCCCACTTCTTTGTGCATTCCCCCAGTGCCCTGACCTGTATCCGCAGAGGAGTTGGACATGGTGTCCTCCAGTGCTTTGGTATAAAGTACTTCCCTGAAGTCTGCTGGGAGCAGAAAGTGCATGCTTAGGCTTTGGCAGCACCCACACAGCTGTGGAACCCCCCCAGCACCA